GCGGGTTCGGTTTATTAGGGCAGTACTGCCGCATATGATATTGTCCAGAAAATGGAATAATCATTTCATTTACGCACATATCTTGAAGACGATCTTGTTCTAAGCAAACTCGTAAACTGCGTTCAAAAAGTGGACGAATTTTCCAAATTTTAACTTTCTTTGTCTTCTTCGCTAATATCTTCATCATAAACACATTTTATTCTAGTTCTTGTAGCATAAAACCGTAATCGGCTCATAGCATTCGCTACAACCAGGACTCTCTATCATTGCATTCAATACATATCAATTTTTGGATATTGTAAAGCCGACATTATCATTACTATCCCCAAATATACTTTCAGCTCCTTCCTAGTAAGACGCAATGTTTTTTCTGTGCGTCCAACTTCTGTTCTATTTGTAGATACAACAATAATATCTAAAATCTGGTCATCAATGAACTGTTCGGCATACGTCAAATTCCGCCACCCTTCGCAGTTTTTTGGGTATAAATGTGGGTTGTTGAAGCTCCCTTACTTCTGGATCAAAAGTAGTTCCTGTCCATTGATTTTGTATTCCATCGTGTGAACTTGATGTCATTGCTCGTATCCGTAATCCACGTCGGACTCCCCTGTCAGATCGACCTCTTCGAACACGCAATGTAGCTCTCATGGAGCTCGCTGACAAAACAGGCGAAGGAGCAACTTCAGGTGAAGGAGGATCGTCATCGGATGAGCTGACTGAAGTACTGTTTCTGTTAAATGTTCTGTTGCGATTGTCAACCTGAGGCTGATAATTTGGGTCATTATCAGATACATCAGAATCATAGTCAATATCAGAGTTTTGCAGGGCGTCCAATATATTTTCATCATTTATTTCCGAATAAAGAAAAAAATAATACACCATTGATATCTGACAATGTTCTACATATGGGACGTTAAATTGCCTGCCCTTATCTCAATAGCTGAATATGTTCTACCCAGAGGACATAAAACGTGACGTGTCACGACATGCGCGGTTTTCTTCTATTTCAAAAAATAAAATTGCAATTTGTATTTTACTTAGTTTATCTAGCAATTAGTGCAATTTTTTTTATAAAATTGATAAAAATTGCGTAAAATTGGGATTAAGCTTACCTCTGCTCGAGCGCACGTTTACACTTCTGTTGCTCGGTGCCATTTTGCAAAAAAGAACAGCTTTCAACGTGTCAGATGATTTATATTTACTTTCCTAACAAATTAATAAATGTCGCTAGGTGTTACTTTTCTAATCAAAAACTCATATAAAACGTGCAGATTTTTTTTTCTTTTACGTTCTATGTGTAGTACGCAGGCGGTCACGAGGTTAAAAAGATCAATACTATTGAAATCTTTGTTATATACACATACACACATAATCATTCGCACGCAACACACAACAATAATTTATGTACCTCAATTAATATGCTATGCTACTAGAAATAAATTATTAAATATAGTAAAACATGCAACTTTGTAGTGCCGACTTGTGTAAAAAAAAATAAAAAAATATTAAAATGTAAATATACACGGGGTGGAGACCTGGTGTCCTGAAACACAGGCCTCGAGCCTAGCTTAGGCACCAGTCTCCCACAATATTCTGGAAATGATAATTTGTATTTTTTTTTTTGTTTTATTCAAATGTAATGTATACTATATTGTGGTGAGAAATTAAATTATTATTATTATTATTAAGTGAGCGTGTGAAGAAGTTATTGCGAGTGTAATTTTTATGTAATTTAGGGGGAGCGAAGATATTTAGTGTCCGGGATGGACTTAAAAGCTTTGGTTATAAAGTTAATTTTGGAAAGAAGAGACGACGAAGCTATTTTATTATTCAGAATTTTATATAGACAAATTAGATCAAACTGCTTACGACGATTTGAAAGTGAAAGAAGATGATTCTGATTAAGTGACTCAGTGTATGATAGATCTGAATTGTGGAAGCGATAATTTCAGATTTTAATAAATTTCCTTTGAACTTTTTCTACCCGATCAATATGACATTTGTAATAGGGATTCCACACGGTGCAACCAAAATCAAGAGTTGACCGTACATAACTAAAATATAAAAACTTTAGGGTATTTTCTTTTCTGAAAAGTTTAGAAATTCTGTTTATGAAGCCCAAACTTCTAAATGCCCTATGTACAATGCTGTCCATATGTGGTTTATACGAAACATTTTCATCCATTTCAATACCTAGATCTCGAATTGTATGTACCCGTTTCAAATAACCATCGTTGATGTGATAATTAAATAATACGTTCGTTCGTTGCGGGTATAAGTCATCACGAAACATTTTTCTGAGTTTAGGAATAACTGGTTGTCAGCACAATACTTAGACAAAGACAATAAAGCATTTTGAAGGTGTTGACAATCCGCCACTCCTGTTATAGCTCTGAATATCTTCGTATCATCTGCATAAAGTAGGTAGTCAGTATCATTTAAAGCATAGCCCAAGTCATTAATGTATAAGGAGAATAGGACGGGACCGAGGTGAGAACCTTGAGGAACACCGGATGGGACGGGTAGGTAGCTAGAACAATAACCCTTAAGACAGACAGCTTGGCTACGGTTTCGTATATATGATTCTATCCATCTGAGAAGGTTGCCATGTATTCCAACATTTTCGAGCTTCGCTATTAGTAAATTATGACTTATTTTATCGAAAGCCTTAGAAAAATCCGTGTATACTACGTCTACTTGCATGTTAGAGTTCATAGCTTTTAGTAAATAATCATTAAAAACTAACATATTTGATTCTACACTTCGACCCTTATAAAAACCATGTTGTCTGTCCGAAATGTGATGACGAGTAGCATACGATATTTGTGATGTAACGATTTTCTCTAATAGTTTACCGAGAATACACAATTTCGATATAGGCCTATACTGAGTTATTAAATTATTTTGATGGTTTTTAGGTATCGGAGTTATAATTGCCTTCTTCCATATAGTTGGGTATGTTCCAGTTAAAAAAGAATTTTGAAATATTAAACAGATGGGCTTTAATAGTTCATGAGCACATCTAGAGATTATTATGGGGTGAACACCGTCAGGTCCTGCTCCTTTATTAATATTTATGGTTTTGAGTTCCCTAAGGACGTCGTTTGGATTGATATCAACATTACCGAGATCTATTGTGGACTGGTAACGAGGCAAAATAACATGTGTTAGATCTTTGTTATGACATATAAAAGTTGAGTGAAAGTGTTTATTAAACGAATCACAGATCTCTTTACCATCGGACAATAGTTTACCATCAAATATCATCTTCTGTGGAATATCACTCGATTGTTTTTTAGATTTTACATAAGACCAGAAATATTTTGGATGTTCGTTAATTTTGATTTCGGAGAATTCAAGAAAACGATTATAGCACTCATTTTCCATTTTCCGCAACCTTTTTCTTAGAAGAGAAAAAGTACTGTAGTCTGACCTACTGCCATATGAATAATCCATTTTTTATGAAATTTACGTTTCTCGTTATACAATTTTATAAGGGGTCTCGTATACCAAGGTGGATAGGAATGCATATTATTCTTAGAAATATAACTGGGAACATACTTATCTATAAGTTAATTAAGAATTTTGTAAAACAAATCCACCCGAGAATCGACTTCATGTAGTTCGAAGAATAAAGCATCCCAATCACAAGAATTAAGTTCACGTTTAATAGAATCAAAATCAGCTCGAAAAAACATATATGTCATTATTTTTTAGATTAACTTGCATGAAGATGGGCAGGTCAATACTTAATCCTTTATGGTGAGGATCCTCGGGGAGGATTGGTTCACAAGGAGAATTAACTTCACAGAATAAGTTACAAAAAACTAAGTCTAATAGGCGATTATTAAAATTAAATTTGGTATTAAACTGACTCAATAAAGCAACATTCATAAAATCCGAAGTAAGGTTTGATATAGGATCGTTACAAGATTGTATAATCATACTATTTAATTCATCGTCGTAGATCCAAGATGCATTAGTGACATTAAAATCTCCTAAAATTACAAAATTGTCGTTGAGTTCAGAATGTATCAAATCACTTACTCTGTCATAAAAAGATTCCAATGATGATTCATGTCTAGCTCCATGCGGTACATAGGTTCATATAATATGCAGCCATGCCTCGTATGTACCAGTAGAAGTATAAGGGTTAGGTGTAGAACAGCTGCGCAGCGGTATACTTACCCATAGTTCGTTAGCGGGCGCGGGCGCGAATAAATCCTGTCGCATAACTGGCGAGAGGTCCCGACGCACGGCCACAATCACCCCGCCCCCACGGCTACAGCCGCTAGTAATGCTATCCCGATCACACCTAAAAACTTCATACCTAGTATCAAAATACTCAGAGCTATAAAAGGAGTCGCTTAGCCAAGATTCAGTTATGCAAATAACGTCATAATTGTTATTTAATACATTTCTAAAAAACTCGTGTGATTTCGTTCGAAGTCCCCTCACGTTTTGATAGTAAACAGTTAAAAATGGTTTCAGAAAGCATTATTACGGGGTTAAGTAAAAGTAATACTTATAAATGCAGGCGTTCCTATTATAACATAGGCTCTGCACTCCTATAATATTAAAATACATAATACGTATATAACTTACATCTCGCAATGATAGGTAGTAAATATTTATTAACCGTTTATTGTAAACAAAATGTATAACTCTTTGAACATTCACATATTTTAATTGCAGGAAGTACGTAAAAATCTTCCTAAAATACAACGACAAAAGTACATAACAGAATAATACGAATGAAGTACAAAACATAAAAGGTAGTCATTTAATTTTGTCTAAGTCGTTTTCACTTGAGATACCAATAGCTTTCGAAGTGTCACTTTTGCGAATGAATATTTTACAATCATTAAGCCAAATGTATTTGTAACCTACTCTTCTACGCTTGTCACGCACCTGCCGAAATAGAAGTTTATTTTGAGGCGAAAGATGAACATTTAAAAAAACAGGTGTTGATACGCCGTCAATATCTAGGTCAGCTGTCGTTAGCCCGCGGCCAGTAGTTCACATTTTCGTTTGCGCTGTGTGAACCTCACAATTATGTTGGGTATGGTAGATGTCTTCACGGGCTCAAGCTGACTAGCAGAAGATTCCTCACCGCCTCGTAGGGTTTCTTTTGATGAGAAGCGCCATACTCGGTGGATGTAGTCGATATCAGTAGCAGTCAGTGAGAAACCAACTTTGACTCCAATACGATGCAGAATGTTGAAGAGATTTTCATTTTTACTAGTTAGTGGGATCCCAGAGATTTCGAGATTATTCCTCCTGCCAGCTGTTCGGAAAGCCTCGTGATGAGTACCTTAGCTGAACTGAGTTTTTCTTGCAAGCCGCCAACAACCGCCCTTGCACTTACACCTTCCTCTCTACTTTCCAACCTACTTTCAAACTTGTCTACACAGGTAGACAAGTTTGAAAGTAGGTTGGATTGTTTATGCTGTAAGTTGTCAATTGATTGTTTTATGTCTGAAATTTCAGTTTTCATGGCATTATAGTCTTGCTGCAGTTTCTGAATGTGTTCGTATTGTTTGTTCAACATACCTTCAAAAGATGTCATAATGTTTTGTTGGAATTCGGAAAAGGAGTCTCTCAACTCACGGCGATAACTAGCCAGGGAAGCTGTTAACTCTTGCCTTAGTTCGTTATACATATGTGCTTCAGAATCTGGCGTTTTACTTTTGTTTTGTTTTATAGGTATTACGCACCAGGAATAGTTTTTTGTAATATCACTGTACACTATATAACTGAATTAAAGTTCTTCGGATAGTAAGGTACTATGATTAATTAGTTTACTATTATTTTATTTTATTAACTCGAGGGTACCGTTAAAACAAAAAATAAAAATAAAAAATTATATATATAAATGTGCCCGTACGCAAAAGTGTCCAATTTGCAAGCGAGGACGATAATGTCACCTGTCTTGTTGACTCCAGTGGACGAAGGATCGACGCAACTCGAGCGGTGTGCAGATGTGAACTGAGATCCGTGTTTATTTTTATTTATTAATTTATTTATCACAAACACATCCTACACAATCCTTACAGGAAACCCAATGCGATTGTGAGGCTACAACTAAAATTAAACTAATTTAACACATAATTACATAACTTTAAAATAACAGAAATAGAACTAAAAATGAAAAGAAAGCAAATAATCATACGGGAAGTAAAAAATTTTAATATTAAAAGTTATACGATACTACATTTATTATAACCCTCGCGAGCTCACTCCAGTTACACGAAAATATATCAATTCTAGTGCTAATTTCGTTGATTACACGGATTGCGCGAGTAAGTGGCATTTTTGCTAGTAAGTTGGTTCTGGCCGCAGGAACGACTAGCAGTGGTGGATGTCGCCTCCTCCACACATAGTGGTCCGGCACACCGAGGCTCAGGCGCTCCAGCACTGTCTTGTTACACACTTGACTCCTCAAGATTTTAGCTACATACATAGCAAGTGAGAACTCCCGACGCACTCTTAGTTCATTGTACCCCACCATGCCAAGCACATACAATGTGGGGTACATCAAGGGATAAAATGGGTACACACCATATAATTTCATGTACAGGTGCCTGGTAAACTTATTTTGTACTCTCTCCAACATTGTAACGTACTTAGACTCATGCGGAGCCCATATAATAGCGCCATGTTCGAGATGGCTCCTCACCAGTGCATCGTACAAGGCCTTAACTGCGCTCAAGTTAATAAATTGACGAGATTGCCGAAGTACGAACCCTAAATTTCTATATGCCTTTTTGCATACGTTTATTATATGACTTTTAAAGGATAGCTAGCTAGCTAGTCATGCTAACTCCTAAGTCCTTAATTTCTAAAACTCTTTGCATAGGTTCTGCCTCTATCTTATAGTTATAGATTATAGGTGTACGCGAACGAGTAAAAGACATAGTGGAGCATTTAGAAACATTGAACGAGAGTTTATTTCTCTGACTCCATTCAACTACTCTATCGATGTCCTCCTGTAGACGTATACAATCCGATACATTTTTGATCTCTAATACCAGTTTGAGATCATCTGCAAATAATAAGCACATCCCGTGTCTTATAACTTCCGGCAAATCATTTATCAGAATGATAAACTCCAGGGGACCCAAATTGCTTCCCTGACTCACCCCAGATCTGGTAAAATATGTATCAGATACACACCCCCTGTAATCTACATATTGCTGTCGATCCTTCATATAACTACTAAAGAATTTCAGCAAGTGTGGTGTGCATCCGACTTCAGCAAGTTTACCTAATAAGACGTCATTATCGACTAAGTCAAACGCTTTTTTATAATCGAAGTATGCAACGTCGACCTGCACCCCCGAATCCATAGCAGGTACCACCCTACACATGAAATTAATGAGGTTTGTAGCAGTGCTGCGCCCCCGGCAAAAACCGTGTTGCGAGTCTGATAACAGCGCTTGCACTTGTGCCTGCATACTGCGCTGAAGAGCGGACTCAAACACCTTAGCCGGAGTTGACAACACCGCCACTGGTCTATATCCAGTAACATCTGGCGGTGCTTTACCTTTGGGAACAGGTATAACGCGCGTGATCTTCCATCGAGCTGGAAAGGTCTGTTGCTTCAGACTGACATTAAACAGATAGTGCAGGGGCTCCGACAGCATTCCACCGCAGTCTTTAAAAAGGAACGCCGGTAATCCATCCGGTCCTGACGAACGCTTTGGTTTAAGGCGGGCAAGCGCTTCCCTTACCTCTTGCAAGCTCAGAGCATTTACACTTATACGCGCGCTTGATGTACCGCGCTCTGCTGCCGTTTGTGCCGATGTTGCATCGAGCTGCGGTGGCGAATTATTGTACACTGACTCAAAGTACTCCGCAAACTGCCCAGCACATTCGACATGCGACAGAATTTTATCATCCTTCTTTATGGCCTCACTAGTGATTCTTCCTCTCCTGTTCCTTACGAACTCCCAAAATTGTCTAGGATCTTTTGCAAAGCGGTATTGTAAATGGTCAATATGCTCTCTATGTGCTAAATCAATCGCTTTTTTTACACGCGACCTACATCCAGCGAATTCGCGATAATCCCTGTTTAATTTAGTCTGCTTGTACCTTTTGTGAAGCTTATTTTTAAGTTTTAAGTCCGTTATGATGTCCCTAGTGTACCATTCTGGGTATCTGGTAACTAAGTACATGTTAGAATGTTTTTTCCTAGGCACCCAATGATCTAAAATATTACTTATACTGCTGCAAAAGTAATTAAGCGCTGTTTCCACGTCACGTATTTCGTATAATGGACTCCAATCTGTAGTAGTTAACTCGTGGTATAACGATGGAAAATCCGCTCTATAAAAGTTCCATTGTGGCCGTAAGTGTTGCGCATTCGCGCTTGGCGAGAGCTCTTCCGGGGTCACAGAAGCACGAGCCTGATGTGTGAGCCCGCACTGCACCTCCAGCGGCGGGTGATATGGGTCCACCGCTACCATCGGCTCGTCTGACGCAGACACTGTCACGGTACCAACCATACCTGTATTCAGCACCAGATCTAATTGACGACCAGAACAATTTAATATTTCATTACTTTGAGTGAACTCGCAGAAGGACAAAAAACATTCATAGTAATTCATAACACTTATAGAAGAAGAGTATAAATTAAAATCTCCTATAACAACTACTTTCTTATGTCTAGTACATAGATTTTCTATCATGTTAAATAAAATCATAAAGTCATTTTCAGAACTACCAGGAGGGATATAAACCACACAACAAAGAAAAATAAACTTATTTTTTAAATGTACGGTAGCACCAATAATTTCAAATACGCAATCGTCTATCGATATGACCGTGTCCACTACTACACCCCGGTGTAGTGCACTTGCACTCGTCGAAGTTCGAATCGATGTGAGGCCACGAGAAACGCACCGCCCTGTTTTCGATCATCCCGTCGATCACACCGCATTATTTGATATCCTGGTGGAACTAATTCTGTATCCTGTTGTTCGATGCAATAATTACGATCGAACACCTTTTGCTGATCTAGCAACCTAACGCGGTCGCCTTAAGTGCGCGGCGACATCAGTGCATATTCGGACAGCAAACCGGGTGCATTCGTAACTATTAGCAGAGCATATAATCGTCCATTAGCATTTTAGCATAGCTTAGTACCGTTATACTTTTTATAATAATAAACCGTGATAGAGTTATCGAAGTCTTTAATTTAGCATCGAGCTTAGCAGCAGCCCATCGCACGTAGGAAACGTATCCTACATTTTTGGTCCTTCGAGCGTCAAGGACTTCGCGGTCGTGAAATTCCTGTTATCGGAACAATAGACAAGTGAAGTTCGTGACATCTGAACAGCGATCTATATAGCGAATATCTAACAGCGTCCGTAAAGTGTTAACAGCATCAAGCACTGAGAACACTCAGTACATCTCACAGCAGTTCCAGCAGTACTCATTGGGGTACGCATTCAGCAATATTGAGCCTGAAACTAAGGCTCAACAGCAATATCGACACCGAGAGCATCTCTAGTCGGTCCAGCAACACAAAGTAAGATCTTTCTATTACTCTTACCGTTTTTCTAGCAACAGCCAAAATGGAGAGTCTATATTTCTCTCAATCCGAGCTTGCTGAGAGCATGAAAAATATGCTCATTAATTTTAAAAAGGATAGCGTAGAGCGTAAAACTTTTGATTATTGTAGGCGTAAACTCGAGTTACTTGAGAAGTACTGGCGAGAGTATGAAATAAATCATGAAAAATTGATTCCATGTGAAAAAACGAATCATGCGTATTTCGTTAATTCGGAGTATGAGAGAACGAGGGAACTTTACTTGACAATCCAAACTCTGATCAATAAACGTCAAGAAGAGGTAAGCCAACGAGAACAGCCCTCACCTCATGAGCAGGAAACTACGACTGGCGCTTCGATGCGTCAGTCTAAACAGCAAGCAACCGTAACATATCCAACTACTATAGCGAGAAGTTCTTCAAGTAAGCTGGACGATATGCTTCACAAGCAGTCAGTCAATTTCAAAGCTTTTATACGAACAGTTGATAATATTAATCTGGATACATTAGCTGACAAATGGGAGTTTGACGACGCCCTCCAGACATTACAAAACCGCTGGAATGTCATTGACAACCTCCACTGGGAAATCATGGGTGAGACTGAGGAAAACCAGGCCTATGAGTCCCATTATAATAAGCATGAGCGCACATACATTAGCATGAAAAAGGCAATCAACTCAAAGATGTCTACCTCACATCACGCTAAAGCTACACCGAAAATGGATATCCCAATGTTTACCGGCAACTATCATCAGTGGATTTCGTTTAAAGACCTGTTTAGCGAAGCCATACACAAAAACACATCATTGTCAAATGCTCAAAAAATGCAATTCCTGAAAAGCAAAGTAAAAGGTGAAGCCGAACGCTTGATACAGCACCTACCAATAAGTTCTGACAATTACATAGTCTGTTGGGAGATTCTAAATAATCGATTTGATAACAAAAAACTTATATTTACATCACACGTAAATGTATTTTTAAATTTGCCTAACATACAGCAGCAATCGTTTTCGGCTACTAAGAAATTGCATGACTTATCTTTAGAAAGTCTTCACGCTATTAAAAACTTAGGAATAGACATTAGCACGTGGGATCCTCTTTTAGTACATATCTTGTCGCAAAAGTTAGACAGTGACTCTTATTCGGAATACATAGAGTCGTTAAAGAACTCTCGTGAGTTACCTATACTTCAAGAATATTTTGACTTCTTGGAGAACAAATTTACGAGTCTCGAAACAGCTCGCCGGCGACAAGATATCATGCCAAAAACCCATACACCATCTCAACATCTAAATACCCCTTCTACATCATTTCTTAATAATAGAAGATTTCATTATTATAATAAGTCGAACGATAGCACTTGGAAACAATCTAAACCAATTACGAAATCTTTACACGTGTCGGGTATTAAATGTCCGGTTTGTTGCGAACAACATTATTTGTATAATTGCAATAAATTTTTAGAAATGCCAAGTGATATTAAACTTAAAACCGTAAATAAATTGCAATATTGTACAAATTGTATTTTTAGCCATAATGGCAATAAATGCTATTCTACAAAACGGTGTCGCAATTGTTCCGCAGGTCACCATACCGTATTACACGATTGTTTTACGCAATTAAAACCTACATCCGGTCCGAGAAAACAAGTATCTAATAACAATTATGAAATTAAACAACAAATTAGCGGAAACGTGCATGCCTCTCAGCAAAACATAAACGAAATCCTTTTAGCCACCGCGTTGCTAAGAGTTACATCAGCAGACAGCTCGCAGATTGTTTTGCGTGCCCTTATCGATCAAGGCTCTCAAATATCCTTAATTACTGAAAAAGCAGCCCAACAGCTGGGTTTAAAGAGAAAGCAGTACAGTGGCGTTGTTTTTGGCATAGGTGAGAAGGACAGCAACTGTAAAGGAAAGCTAAATATTACATGCCAATCAATGTACACAAGCTTTAACTTCAATACCGATGTTTTGATTATGAATAATTTAATAAAAAATTTGCCCAATAAATCCTTTACAAAGCCTTTTTGGTCACATTTAGAGCACATAAACTTAGCCGATCCTGAATACTACAAAAGTCGCCCTGTAGACCTATTACTCGGGGCTGACGTATACTCGCTTATTATGTTAGGCGGTACTTTAAAGGGCTCTAATGCAACATCGCCCTTAGCGCAGCAAACTCAGCTTGGATGGATATTATGTGGCGGGATAAATACTTTTCACTGCAATGTGATTTTAAACAATACAGCGGATATTCATCAGTTCTGGAAGATTGAGGATATCCATGAGCAAAATGAAATGTCAACCGAAGATCAATATTGTGTTGATTATTACGTCTCGACTACAAAACGATTAGAAAATGGTCATTATGAGGTTAGGTTACCGTTAAAACAACAATTGAGCGAAAAATTAGGATCTTCAAAGGAAATGGCGATAGCACAATTTAGGAATTTAGAAAGGAAATTTAGCAAGCAAGAGTACTTAGCGCAACAATATAAGCAATTTATAAGCGAATACGAAGAATTAGGACATATGAAACCAGCAACATTTCATAGTAAACAGCTGGAGTGCTTCTTGCCTCATCATGCTGTTGAACGAGCCGATTCTTCTACCACAAAGCTACGTGTCGTGTTCAACGCGTCCGCGAAAACCTCTACTGGATACAGCCTTAATGACCTTATGTATAAAGGGCCAAATTTACAGAAAGACCTGCAAGAACTGCTGTTAAAATGGAGAATTTATCGATACGTATACACGGCTGACATCGAGAAGATGTATCGCCAAATTTTTATTTCCGAAGAAGATCAAACCCTGCAGCAAATCGTTTGGCGAGAGCATACCAACAAACCGATCACAGCATATCAGCTATCTACAGTTACTTATGGGACTAAATCAGCCCCGTTTTTAGCAATGATGACCCTTCGACAACTAGCGTCTGATGAGCAGAACAAGTTCCCCAGTGCAGCAAGGTCTTTACGAGAAGATTTCTATATGGACGACTATATTTCGGGAACTCATTGCATTAATGAAGGGAGAAGAAGAATAGCAGAATTACATCTGTGTCTTACTAGCGGCGGATTTTCATTGCGAAAGTGGTCCTCCAACGAGAAAAGCATATTAGAAAACATTAACTTATCCGAAAAAAACAGACAAACGTCTTTTATTTTCAAATCAGAGAGTACAACTAAAACCCTGGGTTTGCGATGGGACCCTATCAAGGATGAATTTACTTTCCAATATAAAATCTCAGCCGATATTACGAAGCTAACAAAACGAACGCTACTTTCCGAAATATCTAAGTTGTTTGACCCCTTGGGTTGGCTAGCACCGCTGACCACTAAATTAAAATTATTATTTCAGAAAGTTTGGCAAGATTCAAACGTTCAATGGAGTGACGAAGTTTCATCTGATATTAAGAACGAGTGGGTCAAATTAACAGATGACATAAATTTGATTAGCCAGATACAAATCCCGAGATGGCTTAGCTGCAAGCAGCATGACATTATCCAATTACACGGATTCTGTGATGCATCTCTTAAAGCTTACGCTTGCGTCGTATATGCTCGAGTCGTATTAGCGAACACAACTTCAGTTGTACTAGTCGCAGCCAAAACCAGATTAGTACCTAATAACAAAACAGTTTCGCTACCCAGGCTAGAGCTATGCGCCGCTGAATTATTGACAAAACTATTTTTAAAAATTATAAATAGTTTAGGAAGTAGCATACAGCACAAAATATACGCTTGGAGTGACTCTAAGGTCACTCTCAGCTGGATACGTGGCAATCCAGACAGATGGAAGCCTTTTGTATCGAACAGAGTGAACAAGATTACTAGCATTTTATCACCAGATATTTGGCATTACGTGCCGACTAAGGAAAACCCTGCTGATTCAGCGAGCAGAGGCCTATCCGTGTCTCAATTAAAAGACTACTCATTATGGTGGCAAGGCCCAACCTGGTTATCTACTAAAGGTTTTGAACCTAAGCCAGAGTTCCAGAAATATACAACCGAACTAGAAATACGTAAACAATTCGCAAATGTTCAACAATACGATTCTAAAAATAGTATCATTGAAGACTTATTATATCGACATAGCTCATTCATAAAAATAAGTCGTATTATAGCCTGGTTATTACGTGCACTTGCACTGACACGTAACCAGAGACCGTCCTATATTACACTACAAGAGCTGCGGAAAGCGAAGTATATTATAATTAAATACATACAACGTACGGATTTTAAAGCCGACATTATTAATTTATTACAAAATAAACAACTTAGTTCTAATAGCAAACTTTTAAACCTTAACCCATTTTTGGATGAAAACGGTATATTAAGAGTGGGAGGACGTCTTAAAAATGCAAATATTAGCACAGATATGAAGTTTCCAATAATTATCGCATATAGTGGTAGGTTAACGGAGCTTCTCATACAGCAAGCACATGAGCTCACCTTCCATAGTGGGCCCAGACTTACCTTATCGGTTTTGAGGCAGAATTATTGGATAATTAAGGGAAACCGAGCTACCAAAAAACTGCTTCGCAACTGCGTAATCTGCAAAAAACAAGAACCAAGAAAAATGCACCAAATAATGGGGTCCCTACCTGATTATAGATCAAATCCAGCACCACCCTTTTACCACACCGGAGTTGACTTTACCGGATTTATACGAGTGAAATCAAATAAAGGTAAAGGTATCAAAACATGCAAAGGGTATATCGCCTTGTTTATATGTATGGTTACTAAAGCGGTACATATAGAAGTAGTCTCTGACCTTAGCAGTTCGTCATTTATAGCAGCTTTACGTCGTATGGCTGCAAGACGCGGAGCACCAAAACACATCTATTCCGATAATGGAACCAATTTTGTAGGTGCCAATAAGATGTTACAAGATGAACAGCAACAACTAGAACGTTCCTTTGATGATATATTTTACAAAGAAATAACCGAAATGAACATCGAATGGCATTGGAACTGTCCTTCTTGGCCAAGTGCTGGAGGGATCTGGGAGCGCTCGATTCGGAGTTTAAAGCAGCACTTAAGGCGGGTAATCGGCGAACAAGCCTTAACATTTGAAGAATACAGTACTTTACTGTCCCAGATAGAAGCGTGTTTAAATACTAGACCATTATGTTCGTTATCTGAGGATATCGATGATATAGACTTTCTCACCCCAGCACATTTTCTTACAAGTCGTGCGGGGTTAACAGTCATAGAAACTGCTCAAGATGCTAGAACAAGATGGTATATGGTCCACAAAATGTTCCAAGATTTATGGAAACGATGGAAAACCGAATATCTCAGTCAGTTATCTGTACGCAGCAAGTGGTTAAAAACCCAAAAGAATCTCGAAGTAGGTGACATGGTAACTATTCACGATGACAACTTTCCTTCTGGTAAATGGCCTATCGGGCGAGTGGTAGAGGTCCATCCAGGAAAGGATGGCATTGTCAGGGTAGTGACCTTAAAAACCAAAAACGGTTACATTAAACGTCCTATATTAAAATTATCTCTTTTACCCATAGCGGAGAACGACACGAGTAAACAATATCAACAAAATACAGAAGCAATTAAGCAACAAAGCGATAAATTAGCGAATAAAATAAAGCGAGTTAACAATTGTTATTCGATATTTAGCCTAGCACTAACGTTTTTATTCTTTATGAATATCGTACTGTCTATTGAAGCGTCTTATAACTTTACATCATTTAATAGTAATCAAACATTATATTTCGATCCTCTGGGCAAAATGCAGCTTATTAGGGATAGTTGGAAGATGGTAACTTATTACGATATGTCTCCTTTTTGGCAGGGAGACAATGCGGTAACAAAATTTACGAAATATCTCGAGCAAACCTGCGATAAAATTAAAGATCAAAGTCATTGTCATATCATTATCCTTCAAATACGACACGAGTACAACGAACTTCAGTATTATAACCAGCTGTTGTTGAATCAGCACCTAGGACAACCTCGGACTCGTCGCGGACTTATTAACGCAGTAGGTACGATATCTAACAAATTGTTCGGTATACTTGATCAGGACTTTGCGGAAAAGTACCAGCGGGACATTGACCTCGTACGTAGCAACATGACCCATTTCATTCAGTTATATAGAAAGCAAACGTCGGTCATAGAAGTAGAATACAACATACTAAAAAGATCAGAGGAGTCTATTGTTAAACAGCACAAGATTATTAATAATCACCTAAATTATTTTTTATTTTTTTTATTTAATTATTGATTCGTTGCACCCGGATTCAGTAATAGCGTATAAGTCAAAACTCCTTAGAGCTACACCATTTCTAAAATCCTCCAATTTCGTACGTAAACCTCGAACGTTCTGGTAATATATGTCTATTGTCCTATTTACCAACTTTTTTGGTTGATTTACGAAAAAAAAACCACTCGTTAAATTCTGCATTCAGTGGCCATGCATCATCTTTCATCAGTCTATCAAATATTTGTACCGGTACTCCAATTCGAAATGAAGAATATTCCCTTTCCGCTTTGTGACTAATTTTGTCTATTTTTAGGTCAACCTCTGAGCCACACATACTCTTCACATGCTCAGACATTGCTTCTATTGTTGTGTCTGGATGCAAACGCCACACATGCATATATCTCTTCCGTTCCGTAGCCTGGATAGCCATCAATTGAGTGTTCTTCCCCGTGCCTACTATCTTAGAGCGCCCGCAGAAACTCTTTTTCTTCTGCATTATCCAGCCCCCTATGGTATTGTTACCGTCTCGCTGTGCTGACATTGGCGAGCTATCTATACCCGATGTAGTATCCGAAGCCGCACTTGATTTCGTGGCCCCACCATTATTGTCATCTTGTATATTAGCGGTTCGTTGCCCTTTACTAGACTTTTGATTTGAGGTTTTATGAGGCGGATTCTTTTCATGAGTACCTTTTGTGATATTACAAGAAGAAGAAGAGGAAGAGGTCTCATGTAGTATGTCTGTGGCCTCCTGTTGTTGACGGGTCGATTCAGATGGTCTGCGTACACATTTTTCGTCTAATGCGCTTATCATTTTGATCAGACGATCCAGATCAGTTTTTGTTTGGCAGAATTGGTTTTGAAGGTCTTTAATTGCGTTTGCCTGGCTGTCCATACGTAACATCATAACGGATCGCAACTCTCTTATTTATCACTTTCAACAAGTCCGAATGCTAGGACGCTCGGGACGCGAATGAGCTTATACAGTGTCGATGCAATAAAAGTACCACCATTACTTTGCTTTCCTCGACCGCCTACTTCGACTGCTACAAATTTTCTTTTTGCGTCAGCCACAGCTTGCATGACAATGCTATTTCTTTTTTTATAGCACCAATGTGCCGAACCAGATTTATGTGTTTTTTTTATTTCGCAATGTTTCCCATCAATTGCTCCGATGCAGTGTGGGAAATTCCAATTAGCTTCAAAATCTTCTGCAATAGCTTTCAGGCGTTGTTCTGTTGGCATCGGCATGTGAATAGGAACTAACAGTCCATAAAACACGGCATGTTTCGTGCACTATAGACGCAATGGTGCTTTTCCCCATACGAAAACTGTAAGCCAGTGCTCTAAATCCAGTTCCTGTTGACAAAAACCTGAAATAAAAAAGTAGAATACTGTATTATTTTATTGTTACAGAAAAACAACTACGTAAAAAGTGGAAAAACCTGCGCGATCAGTTTCGAAAAGAAAAAAAGAATTTCCCTACGCCGCGCTCTGCTGACGGTGGTGATGAAATAGAGAGCACATGGCCATACTTTCAACTTATGCTATTTATAAATGATGACATTACATCTGAAGTGATGACGGGAAATCTGCATGACAGTGATTCGGAATCCCTCAACGAGTCTTGTCAAACTGAGCAATCTAACATCGCTGAAGTGATGAGTCCATGTACATCCACCTGCAGCAGTCACACAAACGCGTCAAAGCGCAACAAACCGGCATCAAATTATAGAGATGAACTTATAGAATGTGAAAGAAAAAAAAATCTGCTAATTGAACAGAAAATGGCAACCAATAGTAGCCAGTCGGAGAAATGTGACGATTATCATTTTTTTATGAGTCTCCTGCCACAAACGAAAAAATTTGGTGAATTACAAAATTTACGCATTCGAAATAAAATTACCCAAATCATAATAGACGAGGCAGAAAGGATGCAGTTTTCTCAACCGAGATACGAGGAAAATTATGGAGGATATTCGTCTGGCAACTACCCTAATTATTAATTTGATTATTACAACTTTTTACTTACCTACTTGTTTGAATACTACTTATCTACATACATATAAATACAAAACATAGTAAAATCTTGTTTTATGCTTACCTCAGTGTTATGAACAATTTCTCCTCAGGTTTAATACTTCTGCAAGCAATTGGCTGATAGTGCAACATTAGACGTAGTAAGCGAAGCGGAAGGCAAAGAATTAAAGTTTGCTTTAGTTTCGCGATTTTCCAAATGTAAAAGCGTGTTGTGCTTTATTTTGCAATACTTGCAGTGAGACAGTTTGCATTGTTTTGCAGTATGTCCAAAGCGTAAGCAATTACGACAAACATTGTAATCGTTTGTCTTTTGAATGCGATTTTCTATCGATAAACTTCTAAAAGATTGACATTTAAAAAGGTTATGTGCTTGGAAGCAAAGTGGACATTTAAGTACTTTATTACTATAACTAAACTTTTTATTGCTTTTAGTTGAAGACTGATTTGTAGTAGATAAAGTATTATTTTGATGAGCAGGTGAATTATGTATGCTGAGTGAGTGGTCATTGTTTAAGGCGACAAGAGTTTCTATTTGAAGGGAATTAAGATTCGACTCATGGGATTCTAACCAGTCTGCCCTCCTTTTTAAGAACGAACAAAAATCAACTAGAGTAGGGTCATCTGTTAACTTTGTGTTACTATACTCCTCCCAGTCACGACCAGTTGTGATGTCTAATTTTTTGGTCATGACATATACAATTAAATCGTCCCAGTGTTGAGTTGGTCTTTTTGATATTGTGAGTGCTCTAATATTTTTATTAATTGCGTCTACAAGATTTCTAATTGAGACACTGGACTCACTCTGTAATGACTCAATGTCAAACAGTGCTTGTATGTGGTGTTTAATTAATTTGCGATTGTTATCGAATCGCTCACACAACATGCCCCATGCTACCTGGTACTGGTCGTCTTTTAAAGTAATATTTTTAATCGCTGAGGCAGCTTGTCCTTGTAATGAAAGTCGCAGGTAGTGGAATTTGTCAATATCATTAATACTAGGATTGTCGTGGACCAATGACGTAAATGTGTCTCGAAATTCGAACCAGCATTGGAAGTCGCCATCAAAACGAGGCAAATCTATTCTAGGCAAATGAACAAAACTACTCCTGTTGGAATTATGTGCACCTGAGTTAGCATCCCTGAAGCCCGCCTCAGAGTCCGCATCGCTGGCCGAGGTACCCGGTAGGTGGCGAGTGACCGCCACCAGATTAAAGTATTGGCGGTCGAATTCCTCACGCTCGGTGAACGCAGCACCCTCATCCTCGATAATCACTTCAATTTGTGTCTGCAAGTTATCAAATTCGTCATGTAAGGAATCGAATTTTTTAAAACGCTCCGCTAAGTCCGAGCGCTGTAAAGTGGATATATTGGCACTACTTTTAATTAAATTTAAATAATTTGAATAAATGGTCATTTTTGATTATGTTGAACTACGTTTTTTCAACAATGTTTTAATATCAGCCATTTTAAAACTGTTCGCGCCACTAACCAAATTTCGTGAAAACTATTATTTTAAATATTTTGGTTGGTATCATATCATCTCCACTATCCCTTTGCTGCACAACGCCTATACAATATGTGTGAGCGAGATGGATTCACCACTGCACGCTGCACATTCGTTGTAAATAAGTGAAAAAAGTAGTCTCGCCCCGTCCGTGTTACCGTCGTTTTCGAAATGCGCGCGTGGGCCACTTGAAAAATCGCAAATTAATAACTTTCGCATTGTGGTTTGTGAATTTGGTGAAAATAGCACCTGGACTTTATGCTGCTCCGCACAGGAAATAAGGTATCGTGCAATCCATCCCGTTGGAACTGATTATTACTTTCATTTTTCCTAACAGTTCTAATTTCCTACCTTGACGCCAACCAAGTTTTTACAAACTCCTCGAATTTAGCTAACCCGCGCAAACAAAAACAAAGAAAACAATAAATACTTCTTAACAAATAAATGATTGTTTTAATACAATAGAACAGGTGTGCGCAAACAAAAGGGACAGATGCGGGCAGGTAATAAAATTTCGTGTCAAGGTCACCATGTACTTAACACATGATATACGAATCTTATGCGCGTGCCGTTATATCTGCTACAAGAAGAAACGACTCGCAAGCGGTATGAATGCACTGTAAAAGCTACAAGCTGATATATATAGTGGCAGAAGAAAAAATAGATTAAGATCGAGAACGATTTTTACGGCATTAAATGAAGCAGGAATATAGCTAATTGGAACGAACTCACTCAAATAATGTACTTATACTCCCAAAGAATGACTTCGGCTTCTTCATAGACGTTGTAGGCTGCTACGAGTACGACTTCTTTCTTCAATCCGCTCGGCCGGGGGCAAAGTTCACAATACTACGACGATGGATTCGATTATCTTGCGTCGGCGAAATATAGGTGCTGGCTTGCGGTTAAAAGGCTACGAAGGACCACTGAATAGGCCGTTAAGGGACTTTAAATAAATATGGACTGTATTAAATATTATATTTGTATATTGGTAAAACGATATAAAGAAATGCCCGTAGCGGAACGCGTCTAAGGGCCGAGTAGTGAGAGGACCGCGGCGTACGAGGCGGCGAGCTACGATCCCCGCTCCCCGCGCCGGCCGGCCTTCGATGGTTCGCAACCGAGATCGGCTACATGTTTTGGTGCGCCGACAGTGATCCACATCAAGCCATGTCCTCGCGAACAGATGGAAAGAATTGGTAAAGATGGCGCCCCTTGGATGATTCATCCCAGCGTTGTTGCCATTCGTCTATGAGATCATTATAGACATCGGACTGCTGTTGAAGCAATCTTCTGTGACAAACTTTCTAACCGATTAACAGCGTCAGTTGTCGATTTACCCAACGTAAATCCAAATGGTCTATTACTTTTGACTCCACCTGGCAGAAGCCGGGGCACTACAAGACGTTCTAAAAGCTTTCCTAACGATGGTAACAATGTGATTGGTCGGTAGGATTTAGGATCATACGGTGGCTTGTCGCCACTTTTTGGTATTATACGAATATTACCGCACCACCATATACGAGGAAATATTCCTTCAGCAATGCAACGTTTAAAGACAGTGAAAATCGTGTCACCCGAAAGTTTACAAGCTTCTTTGATCATTTTGTTAGATATTTTATCATCGCCCGAAGCCTTGTTTTCAAGCAAGGATCTAATGATACCGAGAGATTCGTCTTAAGATGGTAAATCAGACATTGGTGGTTCGATGGCCCACTGCCTGATCTGTCGGTGATGATCAGTGTCGTTTTCCGGCCAATCGTCAGGTACGAGTGATTCTAAAAGATATTCTGCTGTTTGTTCTACTCCTGTGGTATATCTGTTATTAATTTTGATGTTCTGTATGTATGCAAGGTCGATTGATCTATTTGCCTTAAATTTGTGAAACAAAGGTGACCACGGGCCCTCTCTGTCCAGTTTATCAACAAGTTTCTAAATTAAGTTTCCCTCGGATTTTTCCACAGCAGCTCTGTAGTGGGACCTGGCAACTCTAAGAGCAATTAGAGCATTATTGTACAAATCTCCTGTTACGTTATGTTTTTTAATAGTGTTTAATTTTCTACGAGCTTTCCGGTAGCTTCTACGTAGTTCAGCTAATCTATCATTCCACCAATCACATCTACTAGTGTTAGTGATAGATCCGCGACCAATAGATACATCAGCGCAGTATGTGAAAGTTTCTGATAGTATTTCTGCGCTTTCCTCAGCTGATAAACTACTGCGACTGAAGTTTTTGGTATGAGTTGCAAAGAGTGAACCAAACAAAGCCCAGTTTAGTTTTATATCTAAAATTATAGGGAGCCTTTGTGGGTCCTGTGCAACCCTTGGATGCGTCCGGAAGGACACGCCATCCGGATATCGAGACGTCGCCGCGCGTAAGCGTCACGTCAATAGAAGACTCACCCATTGGTGTGCATAAAGTTGGTGGTGCATCGGGGGTATTGTGAATAGTAAGATTCATTTCCGCAATGAAATCTTCAACCGCACAACGTCGAACCGCGTCGGTTGAACGCAACTTGCCCTACCATAATGAAGATGATGCATTGACATCAGCGCCAATGATAATTTTATGTCCCACGAGGAACTGCAAGACGTAACGTAAGTGATGTAAGTGAGGATCAATAGGATGTGAATATTGAAAATAGCAGCTCACTGCGTAAACCACCACATGATCAACACAGGGAAAGTGATTTAGGCTGTGCCACTGTGCACTCGTCTAGATTGAGGGTCCAAGTTATTTAATCAAAACAGTTTTAATTCACGTTTAAGAAATTCATGGCCCTTTGCTTTAGGTTTTTACTATTTTTTACTAATTTCCTTATAAGTTTTGTTTCGTTTCGCAAGGATTTAAAAATGGGCCCTCGATTCAGATGCACACATCCTTATAAGTTCCCTATGCACTTACTAAATACGCCAAATATGTATCACCAGTGATGGTAATCCAAGTCAACAGTGAAAGTTCCGAATTAATTCGATTCCGATTGATTCCGATGCATTAGATTTACAAATATCGAGGCTGTACGTAATGATGATGCTGATTGTTATGGACTAGTATCTAAGAAATTAATTACTTAATTTCATTTATTTACATTAAATAAATGTTGAAAAAAATCACACTTACTTCACTTACACTTAAATTACGTAACCCCTCCCTCTCTAGGGAAACTAAAGCTCGAATAGAGGCGGGATTATTCATTTATAATAACATAGTTTTAAAACTATGTTACTTGATCATTAGCGTTAAGTTTCTCAATAATAGTGGGTTTTTCATTTAGGTTTGTGCATTTACAGTTTTTGGGGTTGTTTTTATGTTTTATTTATATTTTAAACATTATCAACGAAATTAATTCCATTAGGTGAATTTGTTAATATTATTATTCTTGTTTCCATTAAAAAGAAATCTGCGAGAATCAGTATTGGTAATAGTAAATACTGTAACAGTTATTTTTTTGTACATTTGTA